TAATCCTAGAACATTTCATCTCCCCAAAAAGAACTCATTAGCAGTCACTCCTCACCTTCCAACACCCCCTGCCCTTGGCAACCAGTAATCTACTTTCTGTTTCTATGGATTTGCCTATTCTGGACATTTTATATAAATGGGATCATACAATACCTGGTCTTTTGTGACTAGCTTCTTTTACTTAGCATAATGTGTTTAAGATATCAATATTCGTCTGTGTTGTATCGGGTGTCAATGCTACATTTCTCTCTTTTTTGAGTGTGTATATGTGTGTGTATGTACATAATTTATTATTCTTCTTGGTCCTTAAAATTTTTTCTAAAATTTCTTTTTTCCCCAACTTTATTGAGGTATACTTACAAATAAAAATTGTACATGCTTAAGGTGTACACTGTGATGATTTGATATACATTGTGAAATGATTACTACAATCAAGGTAATTAGCACATCCATCACTTCATAGTTTACTTTTTTTGTGTGTGGTGAGAATACTTAAGATCTACTCTCCTAGCAAATTTCCAGTATACAAGTATTATTAACTATAGTCACCACTGTGTACATTAGATCCCCAGAATTTATTTATCTTATAATTGAAATGGTCAACAGGCCCATGAAAAGGTACTCAACATCAGTAACCATCAGGGAAATGCAAATCAAAACCACAATGAGATATCACAGACACCTGTTAGAATGGCTATTATCAAAAAGATAAGAGAATTCCCTGGCGGTCCAGTGGTTAAGACTCTACACTTTCAATGCTGGGGCCCGGGGTTCAATCCCTGGCTGGGGAACTATGATCCCTGCAAGCTGAGTGGCTCGGCCAAGAAAAACAAAAACAAAAAACCAAAAAGATAAGAGATAACAAGCATTAGTGAGGATGTGGAGAAAGGGAACCCTTGTGCACTGATTGGTAGGAAAGTAAGTTGGTACAGCCATTGTGGAAAATAGTATGGAGGGTTCTCAAAAAATTAAATAGAACTACTGTATGATCCAGCAATCCCACGGTTGGGTATATATCCAAAGAAAATGAAATCAGGATCTCAAAGAGTATCTGCATCCCCACATTCATTGAAACATTATTCAAAATAGCCAAGATATGAAAACAACCTAAGTATCCACTGACAGATGAACGGATAAAGAAGGTGTGGGATATGTACACAACAAGATATTATTCAGCCATAAAAAAGAAGGAAACCCGGGAGGACATTTTATTATGCTAAGTGAAATAAGCTGGACACAGAAAGACACTATGCTCTCACTTATATGTGGAATCTAAAAATGTCAAAGTCACAGAAGCAGAGAGTAGAATGGTGGTTGCTAGGGGCTGGGGTGTGGGGGAAGTGAGGAGATGCTGGTCCAAGGATAAACAGCTTTAAAATGTGCATGGTGCCTGAACATGCTGAGGGTTTGCACATCAGGAAGTGACTTTTTTCACCCTCCCTGTGGGTTCATGGGCCTCAATTTTAAACCTTCCACCCTATAGTAGAAGCTCTGCCTGTACTTACTTCTGTGATTACTTCAGGACCACCTCTCACTCAGAGTCTGCAGTGGTTAAGCAGGACTTTTCCATTGAGTAGGCATTAGTGATGATTTACCACAGAGAAGAAGGGAGTGAAGAACTCAAGCCGGCACCTGGCTCCCAGAGTGCTGGAAGGTCCTGACAGAGATCTGGGTCTTCAACCTTCTCCTGTGTCAGGTGATGCTGACTCTGGAGCAGTAGATCCACACCTGCACTTAACTTTGGGGAACAGATAATTGCTGTCTTAGTCAGCTTGGGCTGCTATAACAAAAATACCATAGACTGGGCAGCTTAAACAACAGACATTTATTTCTCAGTTTTGGAGGCTGGGAAGTCTGAGATCAGGGTGCTTGCCTGGTCAGGTTCTAGTGAGGGCCTCTTCCTGGTTTGCAGGTGCCATCTGTTTCTGTGTCTAGTCTCTTTTCCTTTTTATAAGGACACTAACCCCCTCATGGGGGCCCCACCCTCATGACTTCATCTAAACCTAATTGCCTTCTAAAGGTGCCACCTCTTAATATCATCCCATTGGGGATTATGATTTCAACATAAGAATTTGAGGGAGACACAAACACACAGAACATAAGAACTGCTACTTGACTGATAACAATCACCTGTCTCCCTGTCTTTTTTATTGTGATTATTTGATACCAGTCTGTCTTCCTTCCAGGTGTTCAGCTGCGTGAGGGATGGGGGCTGCCTTGAATCTACTGCTTCTGGTACTTTCAGAGTCTGTTGGGAAAAAAAATGAGCCAACCAGCAAGTCTGGACTTTCCTTTTTGAAAATGTATTCATTGGTAGAAACTCTTCAAGTTGTCTCAGAAAACTGTTTTTATTCAAACATACTGTGGACACACTTAAAAATATACTGAGACTAGATGGAAATTATTTAATGAAAAAAAAAATTGGTTTCAATGTTTGATGATGTGCAGTCACTCTCACAACTCTGTAATTTATGTGACAATAATCACAGAAAACATCCTGCTTAGGTTTACAAATAGTTAAACAGATCATCCATTTCTGAATTTGACACTGTTAACACATAAAGGACTTTTTTTTCTTTTTGGGTGGTGACTGGCAGCTTGCAGGATTTTAAGGTGTTGTGTTTTTTGTTTTTTTTTTTTGCAGTACACAGACCTCTCACTGTCGTGGCCTCTCCCGTTGAGGAGCACAGGCTCCGGACGTGCAGGCTCAGCGGCCATGGCTCATGGGCCCAGCCGCTCCACGGCACGTGGGATCCTCCCGGACCGGGGCACGAACCCACATCCCCTGCACTGGCAGGCGGACTCCCAACCACTGCGCCACCAGGGAAGCCCACTTGCGGGAGTTTAGTTCCCCATCCAGGGACTGAATCCGGGCCCTGGCAGTGAAAATGCAAATCCTAACCACTGGGCCGCCAGAGAATTCCCCATAACGGATTTTATTTTATTTTTTAAATTTTATTTTATTTATTTGGCTGTATTGGGTCTTAGTTGCAGCATGCAGGATCTTTGTTGCAGCATGAGGGATCTTTCATTGCAGAGCACGGACTTCTCTCTATTTGTGGTGTGTGGACTCCAGAATGCACAGGTGGGCTTCTCTCTAGTTGTGGCACAAAGGCTCAGTAGTTGCAGCACACGGGCTTAGTTGCCCCCTGGCAAGTGGGATCTTAGTTCCCCGACCAGGGATATGAACCCATGTCCCCTGCGTTGGAAGGCGGATTCTTAACCACTGGACCACCAGGGAAGTCCCCCCCATAAGGGATTTTAAAAAGTAGAATAACAATACATTTCATGAAAACAAGCTGAAACATCAGTCATGATAGAATGAAAGGCCATCTCACTCTGACATACATTCTAAAGACATGCAGCTTTATTGAAGATGCACTGAGTTAGAGGAAAAAATATCTGGAATCTACCACAAGTAAAAAGCAGTCAAATATAGATTTTTTTTCTTTAGAGACTAAACACCCAAATATGTCCTGAATTAAATTGCTTCTTAACTCCAAGGTCAGCACAGGGACTCCGTTCTCCAATTCAATGGTGCTTCCTCCTCTGCTGAGAAAAATGCTGCAGACAAAATGACATTTGAAAAGGGTATTTGCGTTTTTTAAATTTATTTTTATCTTATTACATTTCTTTTAAAAAGTAATTAATCCATTTATTTTTGGCCGCGTTGCGTCTTTGTTGCTGTGCACGGGCTTCCTCTACTTGCGGTGAGCGGGGTCTACTCTTTATTGCCGTGTGCGGGCTTCTCATTGTTGTGGCTTCTCCTGTTGCAGAGCACGGGCTCTAGGCGCGCAGGCTTCAGTAGTTGTGGCACGTGAGCTCAGTAGTTATGGCTTGCGGGCTCTAGAGCTCAGGCTCAGTAGTTGTGGCACACACGCTTAGCTGCTCTGCAGCATGTGGGATCTTCCCAGGCCAGAGGCACGAACCCATGTCCCCTGTATTGGCAGGCGGATTCTTAACCACTGCGCCACCAGGGAAGCCCTTATTACATTTCTTGAGAGCAACACTCACCTCAAGCCACTGATGCTCTCACAACAGACGATGGAACAGCAAGAGATCAATGTCGAAGAAACCCTGGGGTGAGGATAACGGAGACTCAGCCCAAATCAACAGCGTCCACAGTTGCTTGCCCAGGAGGAAGTTTGTCCTTTGGGAATTCTAGTGGGAAAGAATGACTTGATGATAATACCTTTTCACTGGAAAGCCCAACCTCTGTGTGCACCTTGCACAGTACCTTCTGCGGCGGTTCTCAACGCTCTGCTTCGCTCGATCATTTCGGGCATCTGAGGGCGGGAACTAGGTGTAGAAGGGATGCCACAAGGATTACCTGGGCGACAAGGGGACAGCGCCTTTCGTGCCAGCAGGCGAAGACGTGCCGCTGCCCAGAGAGCTTGCTCTGTAGCCAGAAGGCTTTTTGATGTCAAGAAAAACCAGACCTGACCCGCCACCCCACAGCGTCAAGGTGAAAGCAGGTGACCGTGTCTACAGCATCTAACGAGAAAAACTCCATCTCCTGGCACCTCCCCGCCGAAGGGGCAACGAGGGCTGCGTTTGGTGAGGCTAGCATTGAGCGAGGCAGCCCCGCACACCGAAGGGACGCGCGCGGTCAAGGATCCGCAGGGTACCGGGTCCGGCATCCCGCCCCCCGGACTCTCCCGCCGCTGGGGGCGGGTGATGAACAGAGAGGGCTCAGGTCTGAAACCCCGCCTTGGGTGGTGCTGGGGCCAGCTCTGGGCCGGGGCTCTTGGAAGTGTTATTACCCGCCCGCCCGCAGAGCAGGGAGGGGATGCCTGCGATTCCTAGGCCCTACCGGAAGCCGCGCTTTCCGCGGAACCTGGGCGTTGCTCGGCGCTCGGCTCTCGACTTCTCACGCCTGGCGGCAGCTGGGGCTCGGCGCTCGAGGGGTCGAGCCTGGCCCGCCCCGGCAGCGGCGCGCGCTAGGCGGCGGCCCTGGGCCTGGGGCAAGGGGAGCGGAGGCCGCGGCGGCCGGCGCTGGAATGTCGGGGAGCTCGAAGGTAGTGCTGGGCCTCTCGGTGGTGCTGACGGCGGCCACCGTGGCGGGCGTGCATATGAAGCAGCGGTGGGACCAGCAGGTCGGTGTCACGTGCCCCCTGCATTTGGGCCCGCGCGGCGGCGGAGGCCTGGGGCCTGGGGTCCGGCTCCGCGTGGCGCCGCTTCCTCCTCGCCTTTCCTTTCTCCACTCCCGCCTCCTCCGAGGCGGGGAGACCGCTCCCTGGGGCATCCGGGAAGTGGGGGCGGTGGTCCCCGGTGCTCGGGGCCGGCCCCGCCCCCGCCCCGCGGGTGTGGAAGCGCTGGTGAGGCTTCCCCCGCCTCTCGCTTTCGGGAATTGGGAGATATACTCGTGTTGGGGGTGGGTTTTTCCTTCTTAATGAATAGTTTGCTATGGAAACTAGATTCTGGGGACGATAGAGATAGTGGCCTCCAATTTTTCTCTTTCCGGTGGTTTTATGTGCGGAAACATCCTTGACCGCTCAGGGGCCTGTCTTGCTGTGTCTCCCAGTCTTTTCTTCCTTTTCGCATCGGCTGACGTTACTGCCAGGCTCCCGTGCGCCACGCTCCGCCCCGGGCGCGTCAGGAAACAGATAGGAATACGCGCAGCTGCTCCGGGGGCGGAAGGCCGAGCGCGAGCCGGGGCAGCCGGGGGGTGTGTGTGGGGGGGAGTGGTGCGGTGGAGCCCGGTTGGCCCGGGGTGGACGCAGGCCGCTGGGTAAGTCACTGTAAACAGGCTTGTCTGCGTGGGACCGCGCCGGGTGCTCGGGGTGCACAGATGCAGCAGGTGAGGCCTTTGTCCCGTGTTCACGCTCTGGAAGTCAGAGGAGAGGAAGCCTGTGATGATACAAGATTTTAGGGGAGGGAATGAAATGATTAATGGTGACAGGGCGCGGAAGAGATTAGAGATTGGGATTAACGTAGTGGTTCCAAGGGGTTAGCTTTTGGAACAGAAGCGGGAGATTTTCTCCTCTAAGAAGGAAAAGATGGTGGCTGGAGAAAATTTGAGATAGGGTAGAAGATGCTATGTCAGATGTAGCTCTGAGGTCAGCGAGCAGGGATTTTCCGACTTTGGAGTACGGCTGGGTGAAAGCTTGTTTCTGATCTCCAGCTACACGTGCGATTGTTCCTGGAAGTTTTTACCAGGTAGCAGCCTGGGCCCTGCTCCTGACCTATTGAATCAGAATCTCTTGGGGATGCGGATCCCACGTAGGTACGCTTTAAAAGCGACCCAGGGATTCTAACATGCAGCCAGGGTTGAGAAGCACTGTCAGAATGGGACAAGTGTAAGGTTTAGGTATTTGGAAGTTAGAGGTTGAGATTGACCAGAATAACCTGTGTTTGTTTTACGTCCAATTATTCATTGCGGGGTTACTTTCTAGCAGCGGGAAAGAGGACAAATGTTTGACACAGTGGGTGTGTTGGAAGGTTCAAGGAAGCAAGAAATAAAACGATGACTGTTGTCCCCCATTGTTTCCTGACTGCCTGCCACATACCAGGCGCTGTACTAAGCACTTTACATACATCAGCCTCGATCATCACAGGAGCCCAGCAAAACCAGCAGTGAGTACTACACGAGGAGCCGTGTTCTAGGTGTTAGAGTTGTGATGGTGAAGAGGTCTCGGTGCTTAGTAAGGTAGTCAAGTGGAAGTCGCAGGAGGGATGTGTGAGGCAGTCGGCACAGACTTTGAAACCTGGAGGAAACTAGCGAATGCTGGATGGAGAACGATCCCAAGCCGAGTGCTAAAGTCCCTGAGAAAGGAGGGGAGGACCTCAGAGCAGGTGTGGACGGTGTGGGCTTCGGGGCTTGGGTGGCGTGTGTAGGTGTGGTGTGTAGGTGTGTCCTGATGGAAGCAGCACAGGAGAGGATGAGCTGGGGAGGGAGGGGTGGAATGAGAGCCTCCAGTTCTGCCTGGAGATCTTGCCAGGGGCACAGGGTTCAGGACAGTTGGTTTTCAGTTGTGTTATCAGTCCCAGGACTCTTAAATTTCCCAGCTTCCCCTGTAATGGGGACTGGAGCCCTAGGCCTGGAGGAGGGCCAGCAAGTAGGTACTTGGTGAGTTGTTAAAATAGACATAATAGTAATTTAAAAAAACCCTACCCAGGCCCTGCCCCCATTATTCTGCCTCACAAGGCCACTGTTATGTTATTAGAGTATTTTATGACCTGTAAAGTGTAAGTTATTAGTAGTGACTGGATTGATGCTTTAGAAAGTCTCATCTTAGATGCCAGGTCCATATTCTGGAATTTTCTACCTGTCTTTAGTGTTTATCAAAGTAACGACCATAAATGGGCTGTTATTTTTTCCTCTGCTGGTAGCGTTCTTTTTCCCCTTCTCTCCCCATTATGTAATGGTAATTGTTACCTTTTCTCTGTACATAATAGAAGAAGCCGAGTTCTTTACTTTCTTGCATCCTTATAGTTTGTTCAAATTTTAGTAATTTTCTTTCTTGGATGTTTATTATTCAGTTAGGACAATTGCTAACAGGAATGTAGTTCACAGTTACTCAAGTAACTCTCATCAAGTTGTTTTTTCTTTTTTTTTTGGCTGAGCCGTTGCTTGCAGGATCTTAGTTCCTTGACCAGGGATAGTATCCATGCCCCTTGAAGTGGAAGTGCGGAGTCCTAACCACTGGACCACCAGGGAAGTCCCTCATCAAGTTTTTAAAGCATCATATATTAACTAAACTTTAAAAATTCAGCATAGTGGCAGTTTTTCTTTTTTAATTGTTATTTCCCATTTTTATATTAAATGATGCAAAATTTCTTAAAGTATGATAAGAGGTCGGTAATAATACTATCATACTACCAAGTTAATTTGATGGTTTATTACATTTACATCTACACAGAAAGTTAAAATAGTAATTGAGTACTTGGAATCTAAGAGTTTTAAGTGTATTTTGGTAACACTGATTTTAGGATTTGAATGACACGAGGAAGGGAACCACCTGTTCCGAGTTTCACTAAAATCTGTTTCTTAACATTTTTAGAGGCTTCGTGACGGAGTGATCAGAGACATTGAGAGGCAAAATCGGAAAAAAGAAAATATTCGTCTTTTGGGAGAACAGATTCTTCTGACTGAGCAACTTGAAGCAGAAAGAGAGAAGATGGTGTTGGCAAAAGGATCTCAAAAAACGTGACTTGAAATGTGTGTGAGATATTGATGGAACAGACAGCGTTAAGTGTGTGTGAGTGTTGATGGAGAACAGCTTAGTGAGATCTTCAGCCTTTTTGTGGTCACCGTCCTTTTAAACTTGATCAGAAAAAGGACGATGGATCGTATATTCTAAGTAATTGCTTTA